TCCCCCGATGTTTTCGTAATAGTTAAGTTTATGTAACCAAAATGTGATCCGATTTATGACCGTTTAAGATTTGTTTACACAAAGTACACTCAACTAGTATTCTAGAGAAGAGTTAATATTGAAACAGAAATTAATAGCGGAATGCAAAGTGGTTAATTGTTTTGTGATGATAAGAACTGGTTATAGTAAAATAAGGCATATTCTGCAAATATTTGATCATATTCCGTGAGAAAGTGCATACAATATACCAATTTTGTGTTATGTATTTTCTAATCTCACAAGAGAACACTCAAAAGGACCTGGATTTATCGCATCCACTTTGAAAACGCTTTTCCACAATTATGCAGTTTGCAAGAAATATTGCACGCAATCTTTTCTTTTTTCCCACAAATTATAAAATTTCTCTTGTCCTCACACTATAATGCGCTGGAGTGTCTATAAAGCGTATTTACTAATGCAAATTCCATGGCCTGCAGTGCAATTCGAATGCGCAGTAAATTTTAGACCAAAGGCAAAGTGAAAGAAAAGAAAACTCTAATAATAATACACAAGTTCGCTTTGCTTAACGGCGTTTTGCATGCTACGCCGAAAACCGCGTATGTGATTTGTGCATGCATTGCATATTTTGAGGCGTTTAATACCCGCTCTCGCAACAAACAACTGCATATGAGCAGTGCTTGGTGCAAAACCTGTGTGTAAGGCAGCGAAAAAGGTTCATGTGTGTTTGCCAGTCACCCCTTCGCACACCTAGCGCCACCCCCGTATTAATGAGTTATTTGGGCATCTTAGTTATTTTCATTTCTTTGTAGACTTTGTATTGAATTTTTTCATACCGCTTTTTGGGCAGGAATTTTCAATTTGTGGTCGGTGTTGTTATTTCTTAATTTTGTCGACATTTAATTTTGCAAAACAAACAAAATTTTTTTGCGTTCATTTTATGCACACAAATATTGGCGACATTGCTGTTCATGATGTTGTGGTGTATCGTAATATTGTTGTTATTTTTAATGAGGGTACCGTCGTAATATACTCCTGAAACTATTTTTGGTCAACACATACTTGCACATGCAAAGAAGGACGAATATTTTAATATAAGTCTTTGTTTACTATTTTACAATATTTATATTAGTCATTTTACTTGAGGGTTCGCTTGGCCGGTTTATTAGTTACTGCTCAGACATGTTTCATAGAAAATAATTACGGCGAAGAAGTAAACGACCGCAGGGAAATACAGCTGTCGCCGAGAATGGTTTGCGTAGAATTGGAAATTTTTAAATTGATTTTGACAGTTATTTTAAATAAGTTTGTAGGATGAAATAAAGAGAGAAGAGAGAATAAGGAAAGGATAAGGCTTTTATTTTGTGCTTCGATTTCTAGATTGGAAATTGGAAATATTATTTAAAGCTTAGATACAAAGCATGAAATCGGGGTTCAGATATATGCAAGGATGCAATGATGTACGTCTTCAATGATAAGGGCTTGTTTAAGCCTATCGAGGATGATATTGGTTCTCTAACTATATACTACTATGAGTTAAAAATAGTAAGAAATTGTTCATAATTTTAAAATACTTAATTTATTCTTCAAAAACCATGTCGTCTCCTCCTTGACTACAATACCCTTATGTTAACGTTTTGTCCAATTCTCGAAACAGTTGTTAAAGCCAATTTCCGGAATAGCCTTTAATGCGCGCAGCGATTCATGTTTAATGTCTTCAATTGACTCAAAGGGTTTCCCCGACCGGTCGCTTGCGTTTGCTGAATAGCCCGAAGTCACACGGGGCTGCATAAGTCGGACGAATAAGGTGATTCCGGTACCATATTGGTTGAAATTTTGACGAATCAAGAGTTCTCGGAACATAACTCCGGCTTTTTTTTTACGCATAGTTTGCGCAAACGACGCATAACACTCAAATTGTATACCTTGTTGGCACTTTGGCCGGTCGAAAGAGTTTTGGTGTGCACAACGCCGCCATAATCAAAGAAAACTGGCAACATAACCTTCATCTTTGACACGTCGAAGTGTGTTTTTTTTTTTGTTTTTTTTTTTTTTTTGGTTTCAGCTCGCCTTTGCCGCATTATTCGCCCGATTGATCGTCTGCTTTCGGGTCATAAGTATAAATCTAAGACCCGTCGCCAGTAATAATACGTTTCATGACATTCTGGTAGTTGGAAAGCATTGTTACATAAGCGTTAACACGACGCAGCTTTTCGAAAAAATTTGGTGATTTTAGAACCAAAAGCGCTTTCACTTTTCTTACGCCCAAACGCTCTTTTAAAATGGTTTTTCCTGATCCTTTCGATACTCCAACGATGCCATTCTCTGTCTCGATTTTCACCAGTTTCTGTATTTTATTGGTGTTGGTCATCAGTTGAGTTTGGCCATTATGGTCGTGGTTCAACGCATTCTCGACCCTCTTAGAATAATTTTTATCAATTAAAAATACTTGCTCGTGACAAACAATTATCACCGAAGGTCTTTTTCAACATTCTGAACGTTTCGGCATCAGAAATTTTATTCCGCACACAAAATTTAATGGATTTTCTTTAGTGAATAATTTCATTCGTCATAGTTGTCACTGACGGTCATAAACAGCTTGAAGAAGAATATTTCGTCGAATGGTTTTTTGCAGGATATTTACATTCAAAATTCTTACAATTTTTTACCCACAGTAGTATGTGAAACTTGGCCTAATGAAGCCAGTACTCAACGGGCTATGTATTTGGGGAGTTCAGAAGGGCATACAGTATTATGAGCTACATATAATATTTAAATTGAGTGGAACTATTAATGCGAAACGCTACCAACAACAAATCGTCAAATTGAAGCGAACGGTTGCCTGGAAGCATAAGGTAATAGTTGCATCAAGACAACGGCCGTCTTAATTTATAAGACCGCTCGAAGCTTTAGTTGCAATATATTCTGCAGCATTGGGACTGTAGTGCCATGTTAAGAGCCTCGACAAAGTGAGTAGTCACATTCACAGCCTATAACTAAATTCTAGAAAAATAACATGAGGACTATCCTTCATGGGAGGGAGGGCGAACATGACCCGAAAGTCTATCCCGCACCTTTGCAAGTAAAGAAGTACATACTTGTAAAAAACAATTGAGTGAATGAGAACTAGGGAAATGCGATATAAGTCAAGTAACAAGATTTATAGACATATTTGAGAAATTGGTTTACATATGACTATCTTTTCCAGGTGTGTGATTTGTAAAGTGACCAATCATTAACAACTATATTTTTAACAAGAAAGGAACGGCTAAGTTCGGGTGTCACCGAACATTTTATACTCTTGCATGAGAAGTTTCATCAAGATATCTCAATTTTTACTCAAGTTACTGCTTGCGCGGACGGATAGACAGACATCCGGATTTCAACTCTATTCGTCACCCTGATCATATCGGTATATGTAACCATATATCTGACGATATATACCGTTATTAGGAACTTTATTGCGAGAGTATAAAAATGATGACCTCTGAATTACATGAAAATATCTGAGAGATTTACCGATATTTGGGATTTGGGGTGTTGGGAGAATATTATATACCGAATTTCATTTAAATCGGTCTAGTAGTTCTTGAGATATGGTTTTTGATCCAAAGTGGGCGACGCCACGCCCATTTTCAATTTAACAAAAAAAATCCTGGGTGCAGCTTCCTTCTCCCATTTTTTCCGTAAAATTTAGTGTTTCTTACGGTTTTTGTTAGTCGGTTAACGCACTTTTAGTGATTTTCAACATAACCTTTGTATGAGAGGTGGGCGTGGTTATTATCCGATTTCTTTCATTTTGGAACTGTACATGGAAATGCCTGAAGGAAACGACTCTGTAGAGTTTGGTTAACATAGCTATAGTAGTTTCCGAGATATGTACAAAAATTACGTTCAAATATGCCCCTCCCTAATGTGATCGTTTGTGCCAAATTTCACTTTAATATCTTTATTTATGGCTTAGTTATGACACTTTATAGGTTTTCGGTATTCGCCATTTTGTGGGCGTGGCAGGGGGCCGATTTTGCCCATCTTCGAACTTAACCTCTTATGGAGCCAGGAAATACGTGTACCAAGTTTCATCTCAATTTTTACTCAATCCGGATTTCAACTCTACTCGTTACCCTGATCTCTTTGGTATATATATATGTGAACAAAACTATAATACTCTCCTTAGCAACTTTGTTGCGAGAGTATAAAAATTAGGGACTTTGATGCGAAATGGTGTTTAAAGGTGAAGGATTCTCTGTTATGCGGTCTGATTTGAGAGAAGCAAAACTAAACCTCTGAGGTACAATGTTGTCTAATTTGATGACGACAACGTCCTGAATCACTAAGTCGACAGTTTCGGATTATTAAAATTGCATACAGATTTATGCGTATCTATCTAGTGGTAAACGAAAATAATACAGAATTTTAGAATTATCTTAAGGCCTTGAGATTTCATTCCATTGTTGTGTTCAAACCAATTGCCAACCAAATTACTCATCTCCAAACCTTGAAGGTAGTTGATGGATTTCAATATTTCGAAGCCTGATTTATGATAGAGCTGGGCACCCACAGAGAAAGTGTAGAATAATTTCCCTGCTGTCTTTGGCTTCTGTTTTCTGTAAACTAAAACACTGGATGCAAATGACCTTTGGAGTGAACAATGATTATATAATATATGAGCTTAGTTTTGAATCTTTATGTATTAGAAAGGCAAGTATCTCATAATATGAATGATCTTTACAAAGTTTGTAATAGAAAGAGTCTACAGAGGATTCGAAGAAGCGACCTTCCCTCAAATGGAGAAAGCAAAAAGGACTCACTTGTGTTTTTGGTTGGATTCTCATTTGCTTTGGAAGAGGAAGATCGGCATTTCGTTGGAAAGGCCAGGTGGAGAAGGTCTGACTAGGCGTGCAATTTCAAATTGACGCCAAACGGTGAAAAGGCAGAACGAAGGATTTTACAAAGATAATATCAATCAAATCAAATATAAAACGTAAAATGCGTCTACTCACTCTGTGCTAAATGCTTTGGAGCAAATACCACAAGCAAATTTGTCGCCATCAATTTTTCTCTTTTTCACTTTTGCGATTTCCTCGCCTGCCGACGACACTTGTGGATCTTTCTGTACTGTCGCTGGCACATTATGTATGATCTTCATGTGATCCTTGAGATTGTGACGTCGTGAAAATTTCATTTCACACAATTCACAAGCGAAGATCTTCTCATTCGTGTGCTGTCGCAAATGGCAACGTAACGAATGCTTACGAAACTCTTTCGTGCAAATTGGACAAGCGATAATTTGATTTTTAGTCATCGGACCAAGAGTGTGGTGCAGACGATGAAAGATTAACTCCGATTCGAAGGGGGCGCTGTGGGTGCATAGTGGTTGGTGTTATATTCATAACTTTAGTAATGAGTTTAATTAATACGAACCTGAAATCACACTTGTCGCAGCGCCAGTCACTTGCCGTGCCGCGCTGGGCCTGTGCTTCCTTCGAAGTACTTGGCTTCGGCTCACAGTTACGCGTATGACGGCCAAGCGCTTGGGCCAACGCAAAACTTTGACCACAACTCAAACAGACGTGGCACAATAGCGGATGCGTGGCATCGCGATGTGCTTTGAGTACCTCCTTGTCGGTGAAGAGCTCTTCGCAGTCCTTGCACTTCAGTTTGGGTTGCTTGCTTACGACGGACTTCTTTGATTTTTCAGTGGTTTTACTGTTTTTACTGGTGGTGGTGGCGCTACTTGTTCTAGCGATAACTGTATTACGCATGGTGACACCGCTCTTGTGATGTGAGAGTTCGTGTAGCATGGCTTGCACTTCCGAAGAGGCGCTGTAAGTGAGATGAAATATAAATTTTTTTTATTTCGAAATAAAACGCCGTTAAATCACTTAATTTACTCACACAAAATTGCATTTATCACAACTCTTGACGTCCTTCGTGGACGCCACACGTCGCACACCCGCATTCTTCTCCGCTGCTGCGGCACAATTCCGATGCTGCAACGTTTTGCGATGTCTGCGCGCCTTGCAAGGCGTATTGAATTCCAATTTGCATATGGAACAGAAATATTTACTGATGCTGTGCTTGTTCTTCGCGTGACGTTGTAACGCGACCTTCGAACGAAAACTGTCCGCGCATAACTCACACTTGTAACGACTTTGATAGCCGTCCGATGCGGTGCCGCACAATTCTTTGTCGGGATGACAGAGCAAGGCGTGTCGTCGCAACTCGGCGTTATAACGGAAACTCTGACGACAACGACTGCAATCGATGCTCAACTTTTTGCTAATGCAAATGGGCACGGAACGATTAATGGCCAAAATGACCTCCTTGTGTTCGGCGCTGAGCAGATGGCGTCGCATTTGATTGTTGTCCTCGCATTCGAAGTGACAATAACTGCACCAAAACTTGCCGAGTCCCTCGGTGGCGTCCAAATGTGTGGGCGAGCTCCAGTGCTGCAGAAACATCTCTTCGGTGTTCGTATAGAAGCGGCAGGGGCGACACTGGAACGGCGATTGTAGCACCACCGAGTGTATATTGTCCAGTATCATGTGCAAAGACTTCGTGGGATTCAGCTGCATACGTCGGTAGTGATAATGCGATATCAAGTGCTTGCCCACTAGATGACGCAACATGCTGTGCTTGCAGAGTTGACATTTAATGTAGATGGCACGACGTTTACGCTTTTTTACAACACCACTGCTGCTGGTAGTTGGTTTGGGTTCAGCCAAGGCCGCTGCCAATAAACTTTTACTTAATTCAACACGTTGTATATTGCCCAGCGCCGCCTTTTCGAGCTGCCGTTCGGGCTCCGCACGTTTGCGGTGATAACCGGTCTTCAGATGGTTCTCGTAATTTGTTTTGCTTTTTAAACGTCGACAACATATATTACACCAGTACGCTTGATTCGCCGATTTGGCTAACTCGACTACTTCCTCCTTATATTCGAGCCGTTGCATCTTGGTGCCGGGTATCCATTTACCTTTCGTATGTTCGGCAGGCGGATGCTGTCCCTCGTGCACTTCAACATTTTCCAGTTCTTCGACCGCCTCGTCCCAGTTCGGCGAGAGTCGTGTGAGCTGTGCATGTGTTACATTCAATTCGGGTCTAAACTCGGGCCGCCATTTGCCACCGGTGTGTGTTTCGGGCACCACCGGTGGTGAGTGACGCATTGTTGGTGGTTTCCATTTGCCACCATTCGCATGCGCATCCGCTATCGGATCATAGTCATCATCATCCTCATCCATTTCCACATCCACATCCTCCTCTTCTTCCTCACTCGCCTCGGGTGACTCGTGCACGAATGTGAGCGGTTTAAAAACTTCATAGGATTTTTGTTGCTGCTCTACATTACTGCCACTTGCCTGTGCATCTGACATCCAAGGCTCATCTGCCGCACCAATATGTACGGTATGCCCAGGTTTTTGTTGTCGCTGTTGCAGGTTGCTCAGCGATTGACTCGGCGCGCTCAGCCCTTGCTTTCCGCTCGTTGAGGGCCCGGCTGCTTGTACGCTTTGTAGTTGCAGTGAGGAGAAAAAGACGTCGGCGCCCAGCTCGTACGGCAGCTCGTAAGCATCGGACAGCGATTTGGAGGTTTTACCACCGTGTGCCGAATCTTTAGCGTATGACTCCGGCTCGGCAAACGTAAACGCGTCGTAGGTGTGATCGAGATGTGCGCGTGGCGTGGTTATTATTTCCGAGTGCACCGTGTGCGTAGTGGTGTGCTCCCGCTTACTACTTGCAGCGGTGCTATTGAGATTGGTGCACTGCGTTTTGCGGTGTTGGATATACGCCTCCAGTCCAACAATTGTAGAGCTGCATTTAATGCATAGATGTGTGTCGTCCAAATCGGGTTCGATCATTTTGGGTTGCACTATTTAGGCGTTTTAATCTGCAAGTAATGAAGAAATATATACTATATATATATCATTAAAGTAGAAGTCTAAAGTTCGCAATTCATTCGACGCTATCCGCGATGCGCCACGCTCGATCCTACTTTACAACCACTTAAGAAAATAGTGATCAGCTCAAAGCGATGAGAATCTATATAGTCTTGTCGGAGTTCTAGGTACCTCAAGAGACCAACGATAAAAACTGTGTAAGAGAGATCTCTGTTCGGATCGACCATTTACCTTAACCTAAATCATTTTAACAAAAGTAGATTTTACGTGATCTTTAAGCTAACAAAATATATAGCTTCTTTATTTCTTAACTTTTCAAGAACCCGTCAATTTCGTCATTTACGCCTAGGCATGTGCGTAACTACAGAATTGAAAACTTTAAATTCAGTAGTGAGTTTCATATGAAAATTTAATCAAAGAATACGGAAAAGAAGGAAACAAGTTTTTAAAAGATTAAAATCGAATGAAATCATAAACGCTTTTTTTTCAGAATATGACTGCCTTTATTTTAGAATACTAGGATACTGAATAAATGAAGTCTAAAGTCTCTCAAAAAGCTTTGGCAAAAAACTGTGAATTTGACACAAATCTTTCAGGGAAATTGCTAGCGGAACGGATTTTGAGACAGTTTTAGGTTTCTAAATAGTTTTTTTTTTTTTTAAATATATGAAGGCTTCAACATGTTATCTACTTCATGAAAGGTGGACTATAGGCAAGATAAAAACTATTAAACTAGAAACTATTTTATATGAACTTCGAAGATCCCGCCCGCTTTAGACCCAACTTTAGGAGAGAGCTAGGAATATGATACTAATTATTTATAGAAATTCTTAGGAGATATTATAGAGGAAGATATAAGATTAAGATGGCGACTGCTTCAGACCCAACTTTGGAAGAGTACTGTGAAAATTATGTAAATATTTTATAGAAATTCTACTGGGAACGGGGTTTAGGGGATTTTTAGGTTTCGTAAAAGGTTTTTTTTGGTATCCCCGCAAAACTAATACGGCTGTGTAAACTGACGTTGAGCAACACGAAAAGCTCCGTCAGAATCGGGAAGGACCTCTCCGAGCCGTT